AGACATCGGGATTAATGATAATACGAGTAGCATTTCGGAACGAAACCCGGACTTACAGCGTGAAGTGAAGTGTATAACGAAATCTCCCAAATGACGGAGCCCGCAAATTCCTCGGGATCGCGTCAGCAAGCGGCTTCTCACGTCAGCCGGATTTGGCCATCCAAGACCGTCAGGGTTCTTATTATTTAATTTCAATGGAATCTCTGAGATATTTGTAACCAAAGAGAAATAATTAAACACCTACGGGACCAACAAAGCCGATCGACGCAAACACCACAAACATGCCAATAACCACCCTCACCTCCGTCCTCCGCATCCCATTCCCGCACCCCAACACAGCACAAGACCGCCTAACTTTGGCCCTCGGCGCCACAGCGCTAGTCCTCTCGACCCTCGTCCTCCCCGCCGCCTACCGCGACTACAAAATCTTCAAATCCTACGGACCGGGCGGGCCACCGAACAACGCGCTAGGATGGGTAATCGTGCGCGCGCTGTTCCAGCCATTCGGGCGCGAAATGTTCAGCACGGACGAGTACGTGAAACGCGTTGCGGCAGCCGATGGCCACGGGAAGGGCGATGATGGGTTTCTGTTTTTGTCCGAGGAGCAACTGGGGAGTCGACGGGGGGAAGAGAGGCCTGTTGTTGGACCGCACGTTGCACCGCAGAGGCAGTTGACGCAGGTACCGGATAATGCTGTTATGGAGGTATGTTGCGTGCCCCCTTTTTTCGATCAGAAAAGAGAAGGCGAGGGATGAAGAGCTATTTGCTGATTATGCTCTTGTGCGATAGAAATTCCGTGCTGTGTTCAGCGCCTTCGGGCATCGGAACCATCACCTCGTGAAATTCCAAAAGTCCAATCTGGAACGCCATGCTGATGGGCTCTTTGTCGCGGATCATCTTCCTGTATTCGGAATTGCGAAAACTATGGAGCGGGAGATTGCACATGTTCATACTGGAAATGACCACTCGGTTCATGTGATTCTTGCGCCAGCTGATTGTATGATTTTCTCGATTCATTCATTTGTTCGCGTGCTAACATTCCTTAGGTATCAAGGTTATCGAGGCTGGTTGGGGCCAGCGTCATGCTTTCTCGGGTACATCTGCGATCTCGTTTCTTTCGCTTGGTACAAGGCCTGATATCCCGGTGGAGTATGTTTTGATATATGCGCCGCGGACGGAAGCGGAGATTGAGACGGTTATGCAGATTATCTCAGCGGGTGTCGAGTTTATGACGGGGAGAGAGGATGTGCGGTAGGTCAACGAGTGTTTTTTGGACTGATCGTATACTTGAAGGGAGTAATGGTGGTGTTCTAAGGTGGATGCATTCTTCTTCCGGTGTATGGGTTGTGCTTGGTTTCTTCCTGTTCTCTGTCTAGCTTTATATACCCTCACTCTTCGATTTATAGAAATTCATGCTGTTTATATGAGCATGTGGCAGCGCCATTGCTTTTAATTGAGACTAGTACATTCTGCTGTTGGTGATGCATGTATAAGCTGATGCCTCAACTCTCTCTATGGTATACTCACTCCAGCCCAAGAGTGACCTGCAATAATGTACCTTCTTTGCCCTGGATGAGTGCTGACTTAGAGAACTAAAGGTGAACACGTTCTTTCCCTTTTGATATAATCTAACCTTTCTCATGGCCTATCTAGCTTCTATACAATTTCTCAATGTACATGGTGCAAATAGAAAACGGAATCCCCCGCCTCTCCACTTTTGCAAGCTAGTAGTAGATAACCATGTAAGGCCTCTTTGCTTCTGCATTCGAGGCGTTTAGAATTAATCATTGGGGCGAATGCCCTGGAATGGCTCTATGGATATGGCATTGTATCATCTACTATTGTTAGTTTGGTGGTAGGAGTATCTGGATATATATTTGTCATATTTGTTATGTACACTATAGTTATGATTAGATAGTGAATATTATGTGTAGTTCTATACCGAGGAATCTGCCGACCGTCATGCGATATTAGGACTATATTTAACGTTTTTCTCTCCTCTGTGCTAGTATCTTAAATAGTACCACGGCGACGCCTCTACCCAAGTGGATCTATAGCGCGATTGCACGCATATGGCTAGTGGAACCGAGGGAGTGGTCAAGTTCGTATTTAGTAGGTAAGAAAATACACATATCCACCCAGCAAATGAGACTACGAATGATAATTATCTTTTCTTTCATTTTACTACTCCATACGTATCATTGTAAAAGGAAATGTGCTTGGCGGTTGTCATGCCCAATTTAGAATGGGGCAATGAACCCGCTAGGAGCAATTCCAAAATTACCCGTTATTTCCCGACTTACATCCGACGTAGGTTCCGATACTTTTTTTGGGGTTTCGGAAAAAGGAAATAGGGGGGACCTTTGAAGTACAGGAATGATATTGATCTAAGAGCTCCCCCAGGTTGAAGCCGAAAAAGTTAGTAGGTGGCTCCCTTACCCGAGAGATGAACCATGGCGCTGGGTTTTGAGCCAACGGCGGAGCCGGACGGGTAAGCCCTTGTCGAAATCCCGACAGTATGGATCTTCGTATATTGTACTTTGTATATGTAGGAATCTTTCTTCCTTGCTTCGACCTGAAGAGTCTTTTTGACACGAACTTAAATAGTGCTCGGACCACATATTCTTGTATGGACCCGAGGTATAAGCGGCACTTGCATGGAAGTAACGCGTTGACATGTCGTCATGTAACTCAGTGTTATGTGAGAAATAACCACATGCAAGTCTTCGGAATATACCCCACGACCGCAACTGCAACTACAACATACGAACCTTGCCTTTGTTATGGACCGTTGCTGCTGCCATGTGGGACCCGATCGCCTCGGATAATTGACCTAGAGTGAAGAAAAGCTAGCAGTACCTGCACTTAGGCATTAGGCCAGTTGAAAATAATTTCGAAGATGTTTTCTCTCGGTGAACTCGGACACCGAAGTGGATATTGCCGACGTTGTTGTGTTGTGTTGTATGTTGTATGCTGTAATGTAATATTGCATACTCCGTATCTTCTCCTAAAGGCAACAAATATCCACACACGGGATGGGTATCTTTCCCGCTGCCCATCACTCGCTTTGCACCAAGGCAAACAAGGTAAACGGGTGAAGAATCCAGAAGAGGGCAACGGTAATATCGATCCCTTGCCTCGGAGGTACTTCTGTCATATTGTTCTGCAGAATCTGGAGACGGGCTAAAAAATCCCTGTAGCAAATCTCCATAGTGTCCGCCACCCGGGCCAACAACGTTGCAATCTTGAAACGCAAAGCCTCCAGACAAGCGGTGAGAGCGAGAGTGAAATAAGAGGGGCAGGAATAAAATCAATAAAATCCAGTGTCCAGCCCATCTGAATCCCGAGGGAATGGATGCCATAACGAGGAAGTTGCTGATCTCGTCTGTCGAACCCCACTCAATTTGAGGGGCTGTTGTTGGGGCAATTTGGGGCGTGAGATTGGACTGAACCAGCCACTTTACACCCACAGTACTGCACATTGGGCCAAGGACACGGGGCGTGGCGAGTGTCAGAAACCCGTCAAGCCGTTCGATCCAACTGTTGGATTCCTTGTTTGCATTCCTTCACTTAAGTGACAGCGGGAACCGACGGTGATCCGTTTCCATGCCTTTGGAATCCGTGATGTAGGGCTCATTTGGCCTGTACAAAGTACATACGCAAGGGCTGGTGTGAACTCCGATCCCACGGGCTTTTCTTTTTGTCCTTGTTCTCAGTCGGCTCTCTCAGAGCCAATTCCTAAACATTTTGTTCTCCGTATGGTGTCTCATGTCGCACTGCGGCTGTGTTGTCATTGTTTCAACCTAACGACGAATTGTTGCATAGTTTGCTTCAATCGATGGGTGGCTTTTTTTTTCATTCTTCACCGAGTTCTTGTTACATTCTTCGCTAGTCAACCCCTAGAGACCCATGGAATCATGGCGAGCAGCCTGAGCAAGGTGCGATTCAACTTTCTGTAGACTCGAAGTTTCCAAGGTTAACCGCTCATGACAGCCGCGGAATTACCCACATATTACCCACCATGTTTAGCAATGCAACGATTCTTTGACGGCATGGAGATCCCAGTCTTATGGGTTTAGTTGTGGCCGGATTTGTACTCGATCCACATCGTCGGGCGCTCTTGGACCCTCCAGGAAAGTAGGTACTATGCGAGACGGCGAACTGTGCATTAGTTGACGGCACCGCCACCTAGTTTCAAGGTTCGTTAGCTTGGCTTTGAGCGGAACCAAGTCATGTCTATTCTGATACTTACCTATTCTGGTGTCAATAGTCCGGGATTATTCGTGAACTCTTCGGCTAGTCTACCGACCCGCATTTTTTTTCTTTCGTCAAGCCTTGTTGACGTACCAGTGTCCCGGAGTAGCAACAAGAGCCTCCCGTGAAGATGTCTCACGCCATGTTTAGTAGTTCCGCTAGCAAGGATGTGTGTTTTGGAGTTGGCCCCAAGGAACGACATGAACGATCCGGAGGGGAGTTGGGAGTCCGCATTGATCGTATTTGGTTACCCATGCAGGACCCATCCGTGCCAAATCTTCGCCCGTTAAGCACCTCGTGTCTTCACAAATCCAGTATTGCATCTGGTGTGATCTTTAAAAGAGGAAATTCGATTGGGTGGACCGCTGGCCCTCCCATCCGCACAATTTGGTACGTCCCTTGTATAATTAGAAGCCCCTCCATTCAGCCTTCGCGAGCAGACGCCCAAGAGCGAATAATCCTCGCGCGAGCCGCCATCCTCTCCGAGGGTACCGCCGACGTCTTCAAGCGGCACCCGATCGCTCCAATGAAAACCCCAGCACATCAATGATCAAATCTCACTCCTTTTTCGGATATTGTGATTCGAAGCAAGATCTTGTCCTCGGGCAATTCAACCCCGCCTTGGCCAGACAAATCAGGATATATCAGCTCGGATTTTTCCATCATCCACAACACCACTCGATTCAGGGTGACGATGGCGTATGCTAGTTCTCTCCGTTCTTTCGGGCCAAGGGCAACTGACGTTCATGGCCGCCAGGAGTCCCGATTCTGAAACGATAGAGTTAGACCGTGAATACCTCGATACGGTCACAGTCCAGGGCCGTGAGTATCAGAAATATTCGATCGATCATCGTACGTACTTTGGACCGGTCGATGAGGTAAGTCGTCCAGATTTATGTCGTGGGCTTCTCACTGATAGGCTGAACCAGGAAGAAGCACAACGACTCGAAGACCAGCAACAAGTTTTCCAAAGAATTTTCGATAATCGTTTGATCTTCCCCCCAATCCATCGACTGAAAAGAGTTCTGGACTGTGGACATGGATCCGCATCCTGGGCTGTGGATGTTGCTGAGCAAAACCCTGACTGTGAAGTAAGATGTCCCCTTGACTGCGCCCGACGACATCCTAATATTTGGTGTTTCATAGGTCATCGGCGTAGACATTGCCCCTCACATGAGTCCAGACGACATGCCTGACAACTTATGGCTCCAGGTAAGTCAACCTCACATTTCACCACGGGGTACGGTGTGGTTTACATCATGAAAAGGCTTGACACTGCCTTTGACTCATGACTTTGTGCTTCGGGACCTCTGTGTGATCTGTCAATCTTGAACAACAGTTCTGTCCAAATGTGTAACCTCCTGAAAGACATTCGCTGACTTGTGCCGAATAGGTCGATGACTTGAACCGCCGTTTCACCTTTCCTGCAAACCATTTCGATCTTGTCCACTCTAGACTCCTTGCGACCGGTATCAACCGATCGCGATGGCCATCCTATCTTCTTGACATAGTCAGGTGCGAATACTCCAGAGCAGGTTGACCTTGCCGACATTCCAAGAGGCAGAATTTCTCCAACTGAGATACCAAGACTAACGTCAGCGGTAATCAAGGGTACTGAAGCCAGGAGGCTGGGTCCAAATGGTGGAAATATACTTCAATGTTCAATCAGACAACGGCTCAATCACTGATGAGCATGCTTTGAGGAGATGGAGCACAAAATACATGCGTGCTCTGGAGGACAGGAAAGATCTTCGGATCGGATCGAAGCTGAGGACTCTTATGACCGAGGCGGGGTTCGTCGAGGTAGACACGAAGATGATTCCTCTTCCTCTGTCTGCGTGGTCGACTGGTCGGTATTGGCTACCCAAGAAGAACGAATAAGACTGATTGAATCAATGCAGACCAACGGATGCGAGAAATCGGCCGATACAATTGTCCGAACATGCAGCAACTTCTGCGATCACTTGCACTATATCCATTGACTCAACGCTTGCATATGTCTCCAGATGCTTTCAATTCTTTGGTGGACCAAGCGCAGCAAGAAGCAGCAGACCCCACACTGAAGGCATATTTCCCACTGTAGGTATTGCTCCAATATGAAACTGAGAGACAAATTCTGACAGAGTAGGTATGTTTGCATTGGCAGGAAGCCATGAAGACATCTGTCTGGGGAGATCGGCAGGTGCAATGGCTCGATAAAAGCAACCTCTGGCGGAAGGGGGAAAAATGCTCGCAAGACAACTGGGCCGGTTATCGATGCCACCCCTCACCCAGCATATCGTACAGCTTTGGTTGTTTTGCTGTGCGCATCCTGCATTAACATGTCGCATTAGCGGAAAGATGGTTAGTTGAATGAGTGTTTTCTAATTCCACCTGTTCTTTCCTTTTGCCGTTTGTAATGCAACGGGGATTCGTATCAATAACCGTCGCTGTATGCTGGCTGAAGTCCAGCGGAGAGCTTGAGAATCTCGGTATGATTCATCGAAAGAGGACTGCATGGTCGCACAAGAACGAGTGAGACGACTCCACGGCGAGTGGAGTGAGAGAAAGCTCGTAGTCCACCGTGGTTTCTGCGGGAAGCCAACAATTCGCACATGCATCGAGTCTTGGCTTTAAGAGCCTCGTATCCACTCGATATCGGTGTTGGGGTACTGCCCAACGCGGTGGGAAAGCGAAGGTGTATTGGATGGAACACGGGGTCGAGGCATCGCTACCGCTGCCTAGGGTAAGTTGAGCTTTTAGTTGACTGCTCCCAGGCAAAATGGGAGTGAAACGAAACAGGAGAGGGTTTTGAGCAGGAGGCCTGGGGGTGCAGATTAAGCTGTTGAGATCGTGCCTAGTGCGGGATACCCGACACCGTTGGCTCCCGATCCGACCTTACCCTTTAGAGAAGGGGGTTTTCGACCTCCTTACACTCCAAAAGATACACCCGATCAGCAAAGTTTGTCACGACAAAAGATGAAGAACATAGAGGAAGATGAAACAGGAGGGGACTTACCGAACTGACGGGAGAGCCAGGGAACCACCGACTTCCAGGAACACATGATTTACACCCATCTCAGACAGTATATACGGTTTGACTGACCTCAATATCAATACTAGCTGTTAAAAATGTCCATACCGACTTGACAATTAGACAGCTTCGCGCCGTCACGCCATCACGCTCTCAGGCCTTCGGAGCAGACTCTCATGTTGAGAGTGATAACCCTGGGCGACGAGCTCCCTCAAGCCTTAATGAACATCCACAACATCCGTTACACATTAAAGAGCTATCAATCTTGTGTCTTACCGATATTCTCAATGGCCGCAGGAGCTCTTATAACCAACACCCTCTTCACCGTGTTTCCCGTACGGATGTACCCAATCATAACCTCCAAGCAACCAACAACTAGGAATCTAAGCTGCATATCGGGATCTAACTAGCGCTGAATCCTTGCTGAATTGTTGAGTTCCTTCTTTCCTTACTCGCGAAGCGGCCATGTCGCCCTCTTAGCTTCTTATTAGAGTTCCTCCCGGATGCCCCTGGCGACGCTAGCTCGAGGAGTTGCGGTATGTTGATTGCCGGAAAGACCCACAGAAGCTCGAAATGCATAAGCTACATTCTCTTCTCTTCATGAGTGTGTTGGGGAGCCTTGAGGCGACTATTGGGCACAGATCTACCGAGAATCTTACCTATCGCAGTCCTTCCAAGATTCTGATTGGTCTCCTCCAGGGGCTCTAAGGCCAAATCAACCATGAAGGGGAGAATCCAGACTAGACAGCTTGCAGTTTCGATTAGTACCATCAACTAGGGAATATTGGTGCTTGGAAAGACTGTACTAGTCGATTTATGCCGAAGACTTTTCTTTTGTCTGATATTGTTTTGTTTGTCTTTTCTGTACGGAGTACCTGAGACCAAATTACCCCTACTATATGCCGATAATGAGTGACCACCAACTTAAACTACTCTTAACCATCGTTGTAATCCTTATACATACTCCGTACGCAGCAGAAATTAGCGTACAGCTAGCTAAGAGGAAGATACTCAGGCTTGGCCCCGATCTAGATGTGTTGGTGCCTGAACTTCAAGGCATGAAATCCTACCCAATCGGGGAAAGCGGGGAGAAAAAAAAGTTGGCGCGGATTTTCATTTGAGCTCCGGAACAGTCGCCCATTCTTTTTCCTATCAAGTCACCACCAACAAGATGCCTTCAACACACAATAAGGAAAAGGCCTGGGATACGGATGACATCGATAAGTGGAAGGTAAGTCCAAAGCTGTCCTTCTTCGATTAAAAAATCGCTACTGACGGATCCTCGCAACAGATCGAAGAATTCAAACCCGAACACAATGCCGGAGGCAGTTTCGCCGAGGAGTCATCCTTCATGACACTATTCCCCAAATACCGTGAACAGTACTTGAAGGAAGCATGGCCGGTGATCACACGAGCGCTGGAGAAGCAGGGCATCGCCTGCACACTGGATTTGGTCGAGGGTAGCATGACAGTGAAGACGACGCGAAAGACCTACGACCCAGCAGCGATCATCAAATCCCGGGATCTGATCAAGCTGCTTGCACGAAGCGTACCCGTGACACAAGCGATGAAGATCCTCGAAGACGGCGTGGCATGCGACGTGATCAAGATCCGCAACCAGGTGCGGAACAAAGAGCGATTCGTGAAGCGGCGACAGCGCATTCTCGGCCCGAACGGTTCAACCCTCAAAGCGCTCGAGCTGCTCACCGGCACATACATCCTGGTGCAGGGTAACACCGTGGCTGTGATGGGTCCGTTCAAGGGACTGAAGGAGGTGCGACGCATTATCGACGACTGTATGGCGAACATCCACCCGATCTACCACATCAAGGAGTTGATGATCAAGCGTGAGCTCGCCAAGGACCCGACGCTGGCGGAAGAGTCCTGGGACCGGTTTTTGCCTAACTTCAAGAAACGCACGCTGTCCAAGCGCCATGTGCCATTCAAGATCACCGACAAGGAGAAGAAGACGTACACGCCGTTCCCCCCTGCGCCGGAGAAGAGCAAGGTCGATTTACAGATCGAGTCTGGAGAGTACTTCTTGTCAAAGGAGGCCAAGGAGCGCGTTCACAAGGAGGAGGTTGTTGAGCGACAGCGTCTCAAGCGGGACGAGAAGATGCGCGAGCGCGAGAAGGATTTCGTGGCGCCCGAGGAGGTGACGCCGGCCGATCTCGAGGAAAAGAAGAAGAAGAAGGAGAAGAAGGAAAAGAAAGAGAAGAAGGAAAAGAAGGAAAAGAGCAAGCGGAAACGCGAGGCCGAGGAGGATGTCGACGCCGACGAGGCTGCCGAGCGCAAAGAGAAGAAGAAAAAGAAGAAGAGCAAGTCCAAGGAAGTCTCTTCCGATGGGGAATGATCTGCTCTTTGATTGTGGTATCGGTATCTTGTATCGGAATTGGCGCTTATGGCAGTGCATAGGTCTGGCGTTTAAATGTCTTGTCTCCTGGTTCTTCGTTGCAACGTTGCAACCCGTGTACGCAGCTGGTGTGTACATTTACAAAAAATATTGTTCAATACCAAGAAATGATTTAGTCTACGCACACTGTCGGAATGATAATTCTGTAAAAAGCATAGACCTATTCATCGGAAAACGACAGATGTGGCTAGTCTAGCCTTGGTATTCTCTTAGGGCTGATGGCCGTTGAAACGATGAGGTCCGTCCTCTGTATGTCTTTCTATGAATCGTGATATCAATGATTGTCGTGTATGAATGTCCTCTTTCCCATCTATTTGCCAATGCAATTGTGCATGTATCCCAAAAGGTATCGGAGTATCTCCAAAAACCGCAGTGTCTATATAGACAAAAACCAGAAAAGGTCAACCGCCCATAACAGATCTGAAGACAGTAGTTCAGACTGCCGCGGAAGTCTCGTCATCAGAGGACGAGGCGCTGGCATTCAGGCGACGCAGCTTATCCGACAAGAACCTCTGCTGCTCTTCCTGGCTCTTCTTTAAATCAACACCCCAGAACAGAATCAAAAAGCTGGCAACGCTCAACCCAAACAAGAAGTAGAATGGCAACGAGACATTACCCGACGGGCTCGCGTCGATAATTGCACTTGAGACGATGGGTCCAATAAAAGATGAGGTTTTACCGATGATGCTGAAGAGACTGAAGAATAGGAACTCGTGACCGCGGGGTGTAACCTCTGAAATCATAATTTGCGAGTAGCTGTACCAGGGACAGATGAAAAGGCCGTAGAACGCTTGGTAGACCTATAATCAATCAGTTAGATATTACGCATCATATGGCAGAGCGGGATTGACATACCCAGACTTCCCATGCATGATGGAAGCCGAACCTCTGGGTCCAGATACCGATCATGCCCCAGCCATCAAGTAGGATGATTCCAACGGCGACGGCGTTGAACATAGTTTTGGTTCCGAGCCTGAAGCGTTGCTGGATTGTCCAGAATGCGTATATGCCAGCACCCTAAGAGAGATTTGTTAGTTTGGAACAATTTCGCTCGCGGAATTAGACTCACCTGTGCAGCAATGCCAACAATAAGCAGGTATGTCAGTTCCAGAGTATTATACGAAACGATGCTGTTCTGCAAAGTTCCAATAACAGTCACAGTGGTGTTGAGAGAGTCTCCAAGTAAGAAATAACCTATTGCCACCGTTAGCCCCGTATAATCACAGAGATAGTAGGATAAAAAGTCTTACCAACTAGATAGCACAGACTCTGCTTTAAATGCCAGATCTGCTTCATAGCATGCCACAGCTGCCACATGCCTGCAACAAAGATCGACCGTTTGCCAGGGTCTTGACCCGGACGGCGTTTCTCAAGAATAAACCACGGAATCGAGACGAGCAACCACACACCAGAGACGAATGCGATCAGCACACTCACTCCCCAGTTGTTATTAGTCTCGCTATCATTGACCTTCAACCCGAACATGATGCCCACGATAATGGCCAAGATAAAGATCTCTCCAACGGACTGAACATAGAAAGCGACATTGGCAAGTTTGCTGCGCATCATGGTGTCCGCATAGTCATATTCCTCCCGAGTGATGCTCCCGGCCACATATTTGTCGGCCTCTTCCTTCAATTCGATGGAGTTGCGCGCTAAGCCCGGGAACGCAGCGGTCCAGAAAGTGAGCGTGGTTTGATAGGCGATCAAGCCTACCATGTATAGACCCACGCCGATACGCCACTTATCCGGGGTATGGACACCCAACCAGCCGAAGCCAATGCCCCAGGCAATAATCGACAGCGCAATCAAGATGTTGGGTCGCCAGTAACCGAAATCGGCGAAACTGCCGATTATGAGGAACACCACGACTTGGATGGCGAACGAGATTCCATTGGAGAGGAGCACGATGCTGTTGACATTACGTGGTCTACCGAGAAAGTCGAGTAGTCCATCGGCAGGGACTGCCTGGGAGAGCAAGTTTTGAAAAGCAGTCGGTGCGAAGTCTAGAACGGGGTCAGCTCCTGCCTCAATATTAGATTGGGAACGCGGATAGACCCACTGAATAGTGACAAGCCATTATTTCCAATGTAATAGCTGCAATCGTGGTTTAGTTTCCACACAGGGTCAATTCAACAAGCCACGCACGCATAATAAGCCCAGATTTCCGTCCGGGTCGTGCGATATCTCTCGTCAAATACATCCGGTGCAATCGGGTCGTCGATCTTGTTTTGGGGAAGACCATCCACCTCCACAGTGGAATGGATATTGTCTTTCTGTTGATCCATGACTGAGAAAGATAAAAGGTAAAAAGGACAAAGAAAGAAAGAAGAAAAAAAAAGCGACGGAATTGGACGGGTTAAATGAAAGGCCTACAAAGTCGCCCCGCGTGCTAAAGCCATCTTGAGATGAACCAGTTGCATTGCAATTACAGTGCCGATCACGATAACCTGGATTTAGTAGGCTGGACTATATCGCGTCGGGTCTAGTTAGGGCTATCACTTGCAGAGACTTGAAAAAAGTTCCGGCCTCTCCGGTCTTGAAGTGCTTGACTACTTTATCTCGTCCTATCAGATCGTCGGATTTTGCATCTTCCGCATTTGGTGGGTTAGGTGGGTTTGGTGGGATTCGGTGGCTTCGCGAACGGACATCGAATGTCTCAGCGCCGATATTAGGGCAGGCAATGACTAGCTACGGTGTGGGAGTGAGAATATTGTTCTCTGCATCCGGGCAGTCGCTAGATATCGAAGGATTGAAGCTACAACATAAAATGGCGTGGAGCCCGAGTGAATGGGCTTGAGAATAAGGTTGTCGGTGTAAATTGTATGGATACGAGGAGTTAAGAGGCTAGCTGAAACATAACTGGACAGTGGCGGTGGGCTCATATCCCATCAACAGTCCAACTTCAACCTCGCGCGTCATATATGAGTAGAACCTTGGAACTACGATATCTCGTCACTAAGCGAAGAAAACAGCCCTAGGCTAGATGGACTCAGACCTAAAATGTCGGGAGATAAGACTTGGAATTGTTACTTTTAATATAAACCATGTTATAACCTCAGAAGTATAATTCTAGACAGGAGTAAACAAAAGCAAAAAAAAATATTACATAAAACCAGCCGATCACCGACCATCAAATGACAGACTATAGTATAGGTGAGTGAGTATCATTCAACCAATCACTCCGAATCGCCCAAGGAAAACGACACGCTTAGAAAGTGAAAGCGAGAGCGAGAGCAGCAACCAGGGCACCAGCAGCAGAGCCGGCGACACGGGTAGCAGAGCTGACGGGGACGCTCGAGGAGGCAGCGGCAGAGTCGGAGGAAGAGGAGCTGGAACCAGATCCTGAGCCGGACTTGCTGCCACCAGTGGCAGAAGCGGCGGATCCAGAGGCAGTGCGAGAGGCGAATCCAGCGGAAGCGCTCTTGGACTTAGGCTTGGTGGAGGGACGGGCACCGATGGTCACACCAGGGGCGGAGGCACTGACGGAGGAGGCAGCAGGAGAAGAGCCGGAGGCAGAGGCACCAGAGCCGGAGCCAGAGCCAGAGCCAGAGTTGGAACCGGAGCCGGAGCCGGAGCTAGAGCCAGAGCCGGAGCTAGAGCCAGAGCCGGAGCTGGAACCAGAGCCAGAGCTGGAGCCGGAGCCGGAGCCAGTGGCAGAAGCACCGGAGCTGGAGCCAGAGCCAGAGCCAGAGCCAGCGGTAGTGGTGGAGGCACCGGCGGTAGCAGTCTTGCCAGCGGCCGAGGTGGAGGAAGCAACAGCAGAGCTGGAAGATGTGGAGGCCTTGCAGCTCAGGTCGTACAGAGGGGTGGTGTCGGTGGATGAACCAGTGACACCGAAGCTAGGGGCGGTAGTACCGGCATCCTCGAGAATGTACCACCAGGTGTTGGTGTTGCCCAACAGGGGGCAAGCAACCTCGTCCCAGTACTGCTTGGCGTTGGCGACGCTGGCGACAGCGAGGTTCTCGGTAGAACCGGTAGTGGGCCAGCCGGTCTCGGTGATCCAGATCTCCTTACCGCCGGCAACAGCCTTGGTCTTCTCAACGCCCTTGTTGAAGAGGGACTTGGCGTCGTCAATGGAGTTGGGGTCGGTGTTCTCGTAGTAGGGGTATCCATCGAAACCGAGCCAATCAACGGCCTCAATGACGGCAGAGTTAGAGCTGTTGGTCCAGGAGTTCCAGGTGTCGACGTGGCCAATGGGGGCACCGCTCAAGGAAGTGCCGGAGATGGCGGAGCGGACCTGGGTGATGTAGTCGACAAGCTCGTCGGGGTCGACACCGAGACCAGCGTTGGCCTTGACACCGGTGACGGAGTTACGGTAAAGATCCTCACTGCCGACGGAGATACCGACGACCAGGTCTGTGAAGTCATCGCCGTAGGTGCTGATGGCAGATGTGAGGGCAGCAATCTCGTTGCTCATGTCACCGCCGGAAGCCCAGAGACCCAGGAGAAGGGTGGTCTTCTCCTTGATAGCGGCGGGAATGGCTGAGATAGGAGTGTTGGTTGTGTCACCCTGGATCATGGTGTACAGACGGGCACTGGTGAAGGCGTTGTCGGTTCCAACGAGGTTCTTGGCAGTTGTAAACTCGGTCTCAAAGTCGGATTGGGTCTTGACGCTGCCATCAACCTTGGTGGAGCCGTAGTTGAAACCCTGAGAGATGGCGTCGGAGGTAGCGACAGCCATCGCGAGGGCAAAGAATTGAGCGGAACGCATCTTGAATGATTGAAAAACGAGTGTTGATATGGGAGTAAGTGAAAGAGAAAGAGAGGAAGAATATATGAGAAGAACCTGGATTAAAGGAGTGCAACCAGGGAAGTTCTGTACAGTTAAGATGAAGGTAGAAGTGGAAGAAGAAGTGAAAGTGGGAAATGCAAACGGAACAGAAGTAACCCTCTAAAAGCCCTCGAAAGACCGAAAGCAAGGTTGGTTCTGGCCATGAAAATTCAGTCTAGATTTCGCCACAACGTAGTTTAGTGGATCGAAGTGGGTCCAGACACGTTGGCTTGTCCACTTTAATTCTATTTGCCGCCCTGCCATTGGTGGAACCACCGGTGGACTGATTCCAAAAATATGCATGAGAGGTGGGTCTCGATGAATCCCATGGGTCCCGAGGCTGCATTCGATGATTTTGTCCGATCTCCCCGGATCTTTCCATCCGGCTTTGGAAAGCTGTTCGCATTTGAAGATGGAGATGAATAAAAGGAGATCCCATTTGTCGCAGTTGCTATGTACAGTAGTGGGTCACAGGCACCTTAGAATACTAGGTAGACCCTATGCAAAGGAATATGATAGAGACACCTTGGTGGAGTACCGTGTCGTTGCATGATCGAATCCAATTCATTCCCTGGAAAGTTCCATCAGGGGTTTACTCCGTACTAATCTCCCCTATATTGTTCTACGGCAACACATTCGGTCTATTATTAACCCACCCCTATTAACTAAGCTCAACCCGTGATACTCCCCCGACCTCATTGATTTCCAACCCTTTGTACGGGGTCATTTAGAACGATCTGCTCTCGGGCAATCCTTCGACTTTACTCCGTAATGAGGTGTGATTATAGATTAATTATGGGCCGGTAGGGGGCAGGGCGTTGTCTCAACGCTGTGTTGTGGATTCTAGATGTCGAACAATGGCATTCAATTTGGATTTTTCTGTATGCCATCCCGTTATTATTGTTCCCTAACTATAACTGACTATGCAGATGACCCCTTGCAGGATATTATTTTGATCTAACCACACCGGTTAGAACACGTTGTAGTGCGGACTACGTGTAGACTACTCTGTTCTTGCCCAAGTCGACTTGACCGATCATACCTGCTCTTAAGATGGCCAAAAATAGGTATTCACACTTGTGTTCGAGGTCAGCAGCGTAGGTACCTGAATGTCTTACCCAGCGACTTTGGCCTTGCCGATCTTTGCTTGAGTCAAATAACATTCATTATTCCAGATGTATGTTGTAGGTGAGGGCTATGAATAGTTCATAGTAGATTCCCTATTCAGCTCTCTCGACAAATATTTTCCATCTACTTCGTACTTCGTAATCCGGAATGGATGGGTTACATTCTTCGATAGGGGCCTCAATGTCCGCCCAACCCCAACACGAGCCTTTTAGGTCATTTCAGTCCAGATTCACATTATAGTCTCGCATTGAATCGAGTGATTGGTAGTCCAATACCAATTTGTTCATCAATATTTGTTATATATGATTAGGCATGTATTGTTCACTGTAGCAAAATGCCTGCTATCGGCGATAACCAACTAGAAGTGGGGTAATTACCCACGGGGACCTAGGGTAACATCGAAGGTGTCTCAAATCCCCTTTCTCTACGCCCATCTGAAACCATGGCAATTGACGAAAAGGTTCAAGCGGTCTTGAACAAAACGGTCCTGCGTTATCGCGGCCCAGGAGGTGCCATCGCCGTCGTCAAAGATGGCGAGGTCATCGGCCAGCGTGTCTGGGGATTCGCCGATCTCGACCAGCGAATTCCCATGACAGCTCAAACGCAAATCCCCATCTGTTCAATTACAAAACAATTTGTGTGTGCGTTGTTGATCGACCTGGAGCGCAATCCAACCCCAACACTAGCTGCAAAGGGCGATGTCCGGAAGCAGCTCTCAGATCACCTCGCCGAGATACTAAGCCCGGAGCTCACTTCTGACGGTGAACTGACAATTGATCACTTATGCGACATGCAATCCGGCATGCGCGACTACTGGGCTATGACCACACTATGGGGGTCCAAACCCGACGATGAGTTCCTGATAGCTAGAGACTGCGGCCCACTGCTTGCCCGAACCAAGTCATTCATGTTCCAGCCGGGAACGGAGTATTCCTACTGCAATGTCAATTTCCACGTCCTTGCCCGAATCATCGAGCGAGCTACGGGCGAGTCTCTTGCCAAATTGCTCGAAGAGCGGATACTCCGACCGGCTGGTATGAGCACGGCATTCCTTTGCCCCAACACCGCACATCACCCACCGCCCTGTGTCGGGTATGAGGGCGACGAGCAGCACGGCTTCACGGCCGCTGTCAATAGGATGGAATGGTCCGGTGATGCTGGACTAGTGGCTTCACTCGCTGATATGATCGAGTACGAGAAGTATCTCGATCGCTGTTACGCTGATCCGCAGAGCTGGTACCACACCGCGATCGCTGCTCCGAAGTTTAAAGATGGCACTCCTGCAAAATACCGTTATGGGCTAGATCACGCTGACATCGCTGGCGTGAACACCATTGGACACGGTGGAGCGTTGCGAGGGTATCGACTGCATCGGCGACACGCTCCACGCGAGCGTTTGTCCGTCGTTGTTATGTCTAACAGTGACTTCGGTGCATTCGGCCCCAATATGGAGATCCTCCACGAGCTCTTGGGAATACCTAAGCCTGTGGCATCAACCGTCCAGCCGGCCGCGGACTGGGTCGGCGCGTTTCTTGATCAAGATACTCAGCTGTCGATTGTCATCACCAAGGGCGCGCGGGATGGAGAGGTGGCTATCAGATACGACGGGTCGGCCGAGCCTATCAAGCTTAGTGCACCGAATCATGGGAAGTCCGATTCCATGGTCGCGACGATTGATGGAGATTTTTTGAGTATTCATCGTGTGGTAGATAACCGGATACTCAGTGCTCGGCGTATTGTCCCGAAAGAGTCAATCCTTAAAGGGACTTCATTCCAGGGTGTCTATCACTGTGCCGAGATTGAATCTACCTTCCATTGCATTGGCGAGGATGGCATGCTATATGGTGCGTTCGATGGATATCTGGGTCAAGGAATTGCAACTCCCATGAAATATCTGGGAGATGATGTCTGGGTGTTGACTTGCCCACGTGGTTTGGATGCGCCAGCTCCGGGAGACTGGACCGTTGTCTTTTCTCGGGATGAGCATGATGCAATCCAAGGGTTTACTATTGGTTGTTGGTTGGCTAGGAAAGTTGACTATGTGAAGAGAGCCTGAGGCTTTTATTCTACTATGCAGAGAAACGATTATTCATGTCCTTGATCATCTGTCCCTTCGTATATATGAATTACACGCAGATTCCAAGATGCTAGCGGCTGACAGCGACGCACTAAAAAGTGTCAAAATCGCAGTCGTATTTAGTGCCTACATATAAAAATATATACAGTATCAACGGTCATTGTCAGAAGACACTTTCTGCATGCTTAATGCTCAGAAACAAAGATACCTGCCATCCCCATGCCCTATTCAAAACAATTAGTTATTTCAATACTCGAGGTCGTGATAATCGAAGGTAACTTACAGTGCCCACACACATCGAAGTCACAGCAATCCGCTTATCCTGTCGACGCAGCTCAGACAGAGCAGTGACGACCTGACGTGCACCAGTGGCGCCCAGAGGGTGACCAAAAGCACTTTGAGACATCAGCACGGCGTCCATCAAATCTGGTCGGAGCTCACTTACATAGCACCACCACGCGGGTTCACCTTGGATTCATCCAAGCCTAGCTTGTTAACACAGTAAACACCCTGTAATAACGAGTGTTAGTCTTGCTTAATGTATAGTCACATGATAAACTTACCATTGAGGCAAAGGCCTCGTTAATCTCAAAAATATCAATGTCATCCTTGCTCAGGTTGAACTTATTCAGAATCTTAGGGATGGCAAGGGATGGGCCAATCCCCATAATTCTAGGCTCCAGACCAGAAACAGTAGCACCACAGAACTTGGCAACAATCGGCTGACCGAGCTCCTGGGCGCGCGAGCGTTTCATGAGAACCAGCGCAGCAGCACCGTCGGTAATCTGACTGGCGTTACCACCGGTGGTGGCACTAGGGGCCCACTGCGGGAAGGCAGCGCGGACCTTGCCGAGGGACTCAGGGGTCGTGCCATAGCGGATGCCGTCGTCGCGATCAACGACGATATCCTTCACCTCGCCGGTCTTGGGATCCTTAATTTGAGTCTTGACGGGTACAATCTCGTCATCAAGCCATCCGGCCTTCTGGGCGCGCTCAGCCTTCTGAAAACTGTTGGCAGCGAACCTGTCGTGCTGCTCGCGCGTGATATTGAACTGGTTAGCTACATTCTCCGAGGTCTGGCCCATGGGTAGGGAGTTCTGGGATGCGATCGGGTGCTTGGCGATGCGCTCGGACATTTCAGGGGCGCCGCCGTCGGCGTTCTTGCTCATGCTCTCGGCTCCAACGGCCACTCCGACATCGATGGATCCGGCGGTGATTTGGTTGGCGATGTTTTGCACGGCTAGAAGACCCGAGGAGCAAAATCGGTTGGCGATGGAGGCCGCTGCTGTTACGGGATAGCCTGCTGCCAGCACCGCGGAGCGGGCGACATATGCCGAACCGGGGCAGAGGACGTTGCCAACGCAGACATCTTCAACGAGGTTGGGGTCCAGATTGGATTTCTCGCGGACGGTCTTCTTGATGTATTAATTACTGCAATTTTCGCCTCTAATCACGGAGGAAGAAGTACCGTGAGGAGTGAAATGAGGAGGTCATCTACGGAGGTATCTTTCAATCCACCTTTGCGGGCCTTGGTGAGCGGCGTCCTGGCTAGGTAAGTGATAACCTGCCGATTATTGATTAATTATGGCAATGAAGTTGCAGCTGCAATCAGTGACATACCACATCATCTGGGTTCTTTGCCAGAAGCTTCTGGCGGGCTGAGCCAGGAGCTGCCAGCTGGTTGGCGACGGAGCTTAAACGTTGTTGCGGTGAAGACATTGTAGGGTATCAAGCAGAATTATGAATGAGCTCAAGAACAAAACAAAGAGAAACCCGTTTTTAATATTCGCTGCAGATATATATCTCTTACTAAAAAAGAACCGCGGCTTCTCCAGACATCCTCCACTCCGAGGACTCTCATCGTACAATTTGAGCCGACTGGAAGTGCCGGGACTTTGGGGGTCACACGGTGTATGATACTGTAATTTAGCGATCCTCGGCTTGTAATGGAAGACTGTGATTGGTGAGTTTGTGGATTCGTGGACGTTTCATGGTCCCACATGTACGTGTACTTTGGCTTCAATGTTGATCAAGGGGGTATGATATTGAGAGAGACATTGGAGAAGTCAAGGATACTCTCATATCTTGTCATTAGTACCTTGATGTGACCTCATCTCCGAAGAACAATCTTGAAGCCCTAGAAGAAGTGTTGAGCTCTCAAAACCGGGGAAATCTTAAGCTTTCCCGGGGAGACCTCGGGAGGATTATGGGGGATTTCCCATAGACCCCACTGTGAATTACATTGTAAAAAGAAGATCCTTTGGTATGAACGGCAGATCAAGTCTGGCTAGCTTCCGTTATTAGGGCTATGCTTGGGAATCTTTATATCTGTTGCCATGCCAGTTCCTGAGAGCTTCGAATTCCCACTAGGCAGAGAATAGGGAGACACCCGTTGGAAAGGAATCACTCATTTTATCGACAAATTGACTTGACAAGTGCTTGACTAGAAGGAAATCGGCCTTCTCTCTCACAATGGACATTTTCTCTGAAGTCAGCGCGCCTGCTGTAGCCATGGCATCCGCCTTGTCGGTGGCCGCTGGTGCTTATCTGAATGCGAAGCTTGCCATTGCCACTGATTTGCGAACAATATACAGCGACAATGCTACTACGAAGCGGCTAAACCAGCGCATTTCTGAGCTCGACGGCTCAACAACCATCTACAAGATACTCGAGCGGGCGGTGGAGGTTGAAGGACGGGCTGCCACCGATGCGCTCTGGTTTGAGCAGAAGACGTGGTCATACAGTCAACTGAAAGACTGTCAGTATATGCCTCTGTCGGGAGAAAACATCTCATCTGATTGCTAATGCGCCTGTCTGTAGTGGTCGATAGAATGGCTGCTCTTTTGAAGAGCCGTGATATCAACCCCGGTGATACAGTAGGTGTTTTCACCACCAATTCACCGGAGATGGTCGTGACTGTGTATGCTTTGTCAAAATTGGGTGCTGTAGCAGCAATGATCAACACCAACCTGCGAGGTTTGTTAACTATGCAATTCTAATCTGGAAGAATACTGTTGACATTAGTGATAGACGATACTTTTATCCATTGCGTCAACGTCTCCGGCTCTAAGTTGATCATCTCATCAGCAGATTTGTCTCAAGATGTCTGCGTCGACCTACCACACTTCACACTCAACCTGGACTCATTCGAAGGTGCCGAAACAGATCCAGTCGAGCTGATCTCCTCGGAAACTCTGCAGCAATTCTCTCCGTCAGGACTTGCAGCAGCCAAGCGCAGCCCAAAAGACCCCTCCCTCATGATCTACACATCGGGAACAACCGGAAAACCCAAAGCCTGCGCGATCCGCAACATGCTAACCTTGATCACCTCCACCCCGCTCTCAGCGGACGCCAACAACCCCTCAAAGTACCACCCATTCCGCGTTTACTCTCCTCTCCCCCTCTTCCACGGCACGGCCTTCTTCACCGGCCTATGCACCGCCCTCGGTAACGGAGGCACATTATGCCTTGGGCGAAGATTCTCCGCCTCACGGTTCTGGAAGGAGGTACACGACTCAGGTGCAACCCGCATACTCTACATCGGCGAGTTATGCCGGTATCTTCTCGCAACACCGCCATCACCGTACGACCAGGACCACAAGTGCATCGTGGCGAGCGGGAACGGGCTGCGCGGGGAGATATGGGAGAAGTTCCGTAAGCGCTTCAACGTGCCTGAGATCCGCGAGTTCTACCGCTCAACCGAGGGGGTCGCCAAATTCGACAACCACGGTGTTGGAGCTTGGGGGGCGGGCAAAGTCGGGTTTTCTGGGCCCATCCGCCGCTTCTTGGAAGATGATACTTTCGTCGTCAAGTATGATACCGATACGGAGATGCCGTACCGTGATCCTGTCACTGGATTTTGTGTGAGGGCTGCTCTCGGACAGGAGGGTGAGGTAATTGGGCGCGTCCGGGACCGTGGGATGATGATTGAGTACCTGGGTAATGAGGGTGCGACGGAAGAGAAGCTTCTGCGTGATGTGTTTCGGAAGGGGGATCTGTTCCAGCGGACTGGTGACCTGGTTGTTCAGGAGAAATCTGGGTGGGTGAAGTTTCAGGACCGGGTTGGTGACACTTTCCGCTGGAAGGGTGAGAACGTTAGCGCAGGAGAGATTCGGGACCATATTTGCCGGATTGAAGGTGTCCATGATGCTGTGGTATATGGTGTAAAGTTGAGTGGGTATGTATTCGGGCCGTCTTGTTCTTTCGTTTTGGTGAGATCGCATTACTGATAGTCTCCACCAGGTATGATGGTCAAGCTGGAGCCGCTGGTATCACGCTGGTATCCCCAGCAGATGAGACAGAATTGATGTCGACCTTGTACAAGGCACTCAGGAAGAAGGGTGTTCCTTCGTACGCTTTGCCTCGACTGGTCCGACTTACTGAGAAGTAAGCATTCCCTTGATTGCAATAATTTGGCCGTGGCTAATCAAATTATAATATACAGGGTTGCCACAGGTGTCACTTTCAAGCAGGCTAAAGGTGATCTGGCGAAGAAGGGCTGGAATCCTCGCCAGCATTGTGGCGGTGATATTTTGTACTGGTTGGATGGCACAAAGTATCAAAAGTTGGAAGAACAAAGTTGGGCAGAGATTGAGAATGGCAAAGCCAAAATCTGAACCTTGACTCTTGATAAATCCGATGCTTGTCGTCTTGTTAAGCAACCATACGGATACCCATAGACTCGGATGAACAGAAGCCATATTGTATCTGTCGCAAGCAAATACTAATAAGGTTTTAGTAGGTGGATCTATTCAAGTGGGTCCAATACATCCGTCCATGGGAAATGGATGGTAGCGATAGTGGAGTCCGGGGATATATATCCATGATGCTGTGTAGTAGTTCCATCATAGACTTTCTGCGCGGACATTACAAATGCCGGCGAAGGAATTTCAGAGAAGGACATTACTGAAACGTTGCTTCTGCATTGGCTAAAGAACTGCATCGTGACGGAGGCCTGGTGCAATTTTGTTCTCTGCGTTGAGATGACGGAAGTAGCCAAGCAAATTAGTAGTGCGCTGGAGCTAAGCAGTCCATCGAAATCTATAAATTTATTACCTGCAAAGATTAATCACTGAGGCATCTTCCAATGATGGATCCTCTATTCATTGTATCTTCTATAGCGGCCGGATACTCATAAAGTTCGAAGGAATACTAATTCAGATTCCGTAGCAAGACGAGAATGGCTTTAGACTCCTCCTACGACGAGTCATCGCCGAATAAAGGCTGTACATACACAAGTACCTATTGTTCAAGGTGTTTCTCGACTCATGGTAGCTTATTAGGTACCCCGTAATATTTCTGACGTCATCTTTAGAGAACGCGGGCGAAGAGCTTTGATTCGCCTAGAAGCGATTTCTGCGCCCATCTCGCTCTTTTTCCTGAACTCATTTCTGAAGCAAGTTAAGCGCAGCATGAAACTTCTTCGTATTAGTCGACCACTGACTTTGATTCGTGATTTCACTCTAATATTCCGGGGTACAATCTCTGAAAGGAGTATTGAGAATAACAATCACCTTGGCCTTAGTGCGGCTATCCTAGTGGCCTTTTAAATGAGCTCATCGATGGTCGATCCGACATAATAAGATGTTTTCTTGTGGTGGTTGTGGCCCACCCATGTCAAGGGATACTCATGACTTAAGTCGGATGTTCGAGTGACGGGAAGTTCAACAACTAAGTAGGACAGCATCCGTAGCTTGGAATGGATGTCAGTCTAGAAATGAGATGATTAATAAAAATCCCTGGCATGTTTAGGTGCTGTGCCTGGCATCTGGATGCCGATCATTGATAAAGAACTGGAGTTCGAAGTACGGAGTATCTATAGTGGGTCGGATCAACTCCCCACCTATGTTGTAGCATGAGACGAATGTTCATGTGTAGTAGAATAAGATGAAATTACGGACTGATATAGAGATACAATCTCTCTAGCAGGGATTCTTGTATCCCTCAGCCACACCCTGCAGGTACATGAGGCGTAGAACCATGGGGCTACAGAAACGGTATAGATCTGCCGCTGGGATCACGTGTGGAGGCGTCATCAAGTGACTCTCTTTCTCCTCACCCCAACTTCTATCTCCTAATCCCAACTCCGCACCTTGTCTGAGCTGGAACCCACTCTTTTCCTGACATTCGACTGCACATACCTGAGTGACTTACCTTTGTGGCCATTTCCCCGACCGAACTACAACGGTCACAGCCATGAAGTTCTTATCAGCCGCCAGCCTCCTGGTTCTTACCGCTCCTCTTGCAAATGCAGCCGCGTTCTCTATCTTTGATCCTACGCAAGCTTCACTCAAGGTGACCGATAATGGGAAGTATCCAGTCAATGGTGAAAATCCCTTGCAGTACTGTGCCAAACCAGACAATTACAAGCTCGAGATCGAGTCGGTGGATCTGGCACCCAACCCGCCTCTACCGTATGTCATCCACGAAGAGTGCTCTCTAAATGTAGTAGATTTAACTAGCTAACACTTTGGCGATAATAGAGGGCAGAAGTTGACAATCTCGGCCAAAGGTACCTTGCTCGAGAGAATCGAGAAGGGCGCTACCGTGAACCTGGAAGTGAAGTGGGGTCTCATCACCTTGATCAAGCAGACCGTCGACCTATGCGACGAGCTCAAAAATGTGGACATGGAGTGCCCCCTAGAGAAGGGCGAGATGATCTTGACGAAGGAGGTGGAATTGCCTAAGCAGATCCCACCGGTACGTTGTCTTTAACCGTTTGATGGTTAAGCAAGCAGCTAATGTGTTCATTACAGGGCAAATACTCCGTTCTTGCCGATGTTTACAACAAGGACCAGGAGCAGGTCACCTGCCTCAAGGCAGATGACATCGTGTTCCACCTTTAATCCTGTCTATCTTAGACATTGCTTTGCATCCACTTACCAGGTGGCATCTCTCGATTTGCTGAACTGTCAATGTCATTAGCTTATGTGCTTGACTGGGGTTCAATCATCCGCGATGCTCTTTTCCATGCCCGTCTCATGACTACTTCAATATTCGCATCTGTTGTTTCAAGTTCTATAACGCTTTGCAGTACATTCGGATATCATTTGGATTTTCTCATTTCTACGCTCTTTGCATCTATTATATCTTTACAGTCGTCTGTATACACTTCAGCGAGTACGACTGTAAACGTGACAGCTACTACCTCTGTCTGTGGCTACAATTTACAATCACATCTCTACTGATTACGCAACGTATGTTAAATCAATTCTGTATACGGAGTAGGCGCAAAGAGAATATATGTAAAGGGTATGCGAACTCGTTCCAGTTGCGTTGGGTATCTTCCCTATCTGATATTTCCATGTTTCCTTTCCAATTATACTCAAGCGCCGACATCGTCAATGATGGGACCGCAGGTGTTGTAAACCCTCGAGGCGGAACGGCGACACCAAATCGCGATTTCCCTGCTAAACGACAAAGACAAAGACCCACATAAAGCAAGCCTACTCTCCAAACAGACGACGGACACGCTTGAGAACACTGTCCTTTTCCGGGTCGTAGGGGTGGTCTTTGCTGGGGATTTCAAGGACGGCTGGGAAAGGATCGGCGAATGCGTCGACGCTATGGCGGATGCGTTCTGCGATCTGAGGTTGAGATACCCGTTAGCGAATATGTAGGCAATGAGATGAGAGCGCTGAGAATAGTGCAATCTATGGAAAAGAAACTCACATGCTGGTTAATCAAGAGCACAGCAATGTCTTTCCTCTCCTGGGTGAAGTTCTGGAAGGCCTGTTCGATCTCCGAGGTCTCGGTCTTGGAATCAACGACAAGGAAGTTTCTCTGGGAGCCAGGTGGTTCGGTAACATGCTGTAAAAAGAGCCAGCACATTAGGATGGCTTCTCATATAAATGTCACAGAGACGTGACGTAGATGGGGTAGTGAACATTATCATACCCCGATGCCTGCGAGCAAAAGACCAGTAACCGAGCTGCATGATAGGTTGAGCTAGTTAGCTGGGCGCGAGCTTTTCGAAGACGAGCAATCTGGAAGAAGGGTCGTTACTCTTCATCACCGATGACAGCAAGGAATTGCCGCTCCTGGGGAACCGAGTTAGCGATCGGAGGGGTCATTCCATTGAATCGATGCCAGGTACCTTGTATGTTGCGGCCGATACCGCCATGACGAGGAAAAAGAAAAGAAGAACCTGAGATTTCCGAGATACACAATCTTCGAACTGGCAGTTCGAGATGGATCAAGTAAATGACAGATCTGGTGCAGCTGTCCGTTGATCGCCGTGGTTATCGCCGGGAGCTTCTCATTACATAAGCTGATGCAATTTCTCAGATTTCAATGTTGTTTACTCCAGGGCTTCATCGTCCGCAACACGTGCAATAGCTCTTGACTCAACAGCTCCTCACCTTTGATGTCATTGAATTATCTTCTTAACTAAGACGAAGCTGCTGAGGAACAGCTTCCGTCTACTACGACCCCCGTCCTCTGACATGCCTCGACTTGTACGCCGCCGCCCGCTCTCCGAGCGCATACTAGCACGCCTGAACCCGTATGACTTTCTGCTTTGGCTTTCCGAGGAATTTGAAGGTGGTGATTGGGACCAGCTAGAGAAAAACTGGGCTTTTCCCATTGGTATTGCGCTCAACGTGATATTCCTCATCGCGCGAGCAAATAGCCGATCCGGTGGTGGTAGCAGGGCTTTTGACGATGTGTTCGGCGAGGACGATGGCACATCCCTATTTGGGTGGCTTGTAAGTCATTCTTCCCGGCTTTGTACCTTTTATGTTGCCTATCTTTTCACGAGATTCATGACAAGCTAATCGGCCGTGGTTGTTCTAGGCCTCATTCATCGTCCATCTGATGGCCCTTGCCTCTACGGGCAATGCTATCTACACATTCCAGAAGAAGAGACGCTATCGATTGTTTGAGAACTCTATTGATAACAACCCGGCGACACCATCAGCACATCGTGTACGGGTTGATTCAAGCCCCGTGATGCCGTCTCCGCTGCGCTACATTGCCAAGGCGCTTTCAACAGAACCGGCACACTCGAGGGCCCACCCTGATGCACAGCGAGATGTCTGGGAGCTTGCAATATGGGACCCTTCGCCACTTTGTCTCCGGCTCTTTTGCCTCTTCAGCCCAGGGCACGTCTTGGTATATTGGCTGTTCCTTCCGACGCAGCTCTCAGATCCACGCCCCAGCGTGACGATTGTGACGACGATCGTTCTGACCGCTCTTCTGTCCGTGCAGATGTCCTTCATCTCTTCTTCTTATACACAACAAGCTAAGGACCAGAAGATTGTACACCAAGAGGTCTTCAAAGAATATGACACTAAATATGTGCAACCTCGGACACATCCGTTGATGAGAGATGTTGGGACGCAGTTCTCGGATGAACCACCAAAGACCGAGGAGGAGTGCAATAGGGTTGAGACTTATAGCCCGGCTCACATCATTAACCGTGGTTTCAAGACCAGTCCCAACCCTAATTACCTCAAGCACGTCGACCCAGAAGGTTTCACCCCAGTCCGTCAGCCAACTGCATCTACTCCCACCTCTATATTCCAAGGCCCACCCACCTACACCCCGAGCATGTCTCGAGATGGCTCGCCTATGGCTCGAGGCACTAGCCGCACAACAATGCGACAACCGCAGTTCCGATCTACTGCAACAACATCAACAGGTGATGGAGGAAGTCTCGGTGTTTACAGCCATGCTAACTCTCCACTGAGGAAGTCCGCGACAACTTCATTTGATCGCCGCTTACAAAACAACGGAGACTTTGTTTACAAGGAGCGTGGTACAACTCCCTTGATGCGGAGTTCCAGTCCGCTGAAGAGAAGCAGTGTACCGGGAGGAATGAATCCAGGTGGCCCAGCCACCGTCAATAGATCGGATAAGCTCAACACTCGGTACTAATACGAACGAATGACCAATTCCATCTCCACTAGCATGAAATGTCGTCGATCCAGATACGTCAGATGCGGAGTTTTCTCCAAGCCATGTGCACCAATGACACAATAGCAGCACCCTTCGTACATATATCCCATCGTTAATTGAGGCTATACCCAATATAGTCCATTTGACGTTTTGTTTCATGGCATTCATTCAGGCCCACCACGCTGGAGAATGCAAGCTACTTATCTAGAGATTAGGGTCCAAGGCATTTGCTTTCTTTGTGATCGCTCGATTTTGATCTCTGACTTGATTGACTTCGTTCATTGTATTAAATCCATTGGGCGGCTATCTTGCCTCGGAGTCCTTAAGTTTGCAGTCCACTACGTCCACTAAGTCTGGATCGTGCTTTCTTTTCAACGTTCAGTCTTCGCAACTTCCATGCACAGATGATGCAATCTATTTTTAACATGTGGGAGGAAACTGTCATTCCAGATGCCGGCGGGACATTTCAACCGGCATTCACCCCAGGGGCTGGCATTCCTAATCACCGACCTGGCATTCCGATAAACCAGGGTCCGGAGCACATTATTCTTACGCGTTTTGAGCACGATCACCTATGAAGATCTCTCAATAGCCAGTCTTTTTGGATCGCCCCGCTCCTCTGAGTCTCATATCCTCTGACTGTCGCCGACCGACATACATCTTTGCTCAGAAAAACCAGCACAGGGAAAGACCACTCTCTCTTCACTCCTACACGGCATGGGCTAGGACAACTAGACTGTGCTGTGCCCGTAGCATTTGCCGCCCCGACCACAATCGCTGCCAGCTTCAGCCCACAATGGACGATGCTCATGTCAAATTGCCCGATGGACACCTGGTGAATCTCTCACCACGATCTATACGCCCAGGTGCGTACAAAGCGTATCGAGTCGAATACAACCCCTCGAAAGAGCTCTCGGCAACACCTCCACCTCGATATCCGCAAGAAAGAAGATCACCAGAATATGCCATCTCAGGAGGCACACCGGCAAATATATCTCAACTGCCAAAAGCTACCAAGCTGCCTGTTCCGAGGAGTTTCACTGAGAGGCTTAACGATAACTCGAGTCAAACGCCTAGTCCGACTGCACTTCCTAAACTGACCCCATCCAGCCGCTCCCTGGGACGGCTCGGTGATCAGTCTAAAACATTGGACAAAGGTCATGATCAATACTGGAGAAAAATCCGGGATAAATTGGAGGATTCGCCGTTGTTAGCAAGACGTGCCAGGAGCAAGGGCAGTGACAATAGCTCATCTCCTAACTCGCACATCTCCCATCACCGCAGCAGACTCCCGGCAAGCACTAGCCAAGATCAAACAAGCTTCCGGGCAGGTAGTGCGCCATCAGGCATTCCGGGGCCAAACACTGTCAATACCGGTCCCGCACAGGGGTCGAGGAACGATGCCCCCACTACCCTTCCCGTGGACGGCCAAAATAAATGGCGGAAGGAAGACGATCAATGGGTCATCTTGGATGCCACCGAAACATCACCCCAGAAATCTGTGAGAACAGACGCGACGAGTGGTTCCAGCCTTCGATCTCATCCTTCCGTTTCGCCAGTATCCGCCGAGGACAGTTCTATCACCGACTGGGAAGACCGATTCGTTGTGAATATGCCAACTGCAAAAGATCCCAATCCCCCAACGATGACGGCGCAACAAATTGCCGAGTATCAAAGAAGCATTGAAAGAGTACACCGGGACGGTGGCCAAATGGCAGACCCGAACACAGTGCCTAGTCGTAACGTGTCTCCTGAGATCAGACACAATCCTAGCGAACAAAGAATCCAGAGCCCAAGGGAAATAACTACATATGATGGGGCATACGAGAGGCGTCAAGTGCCGATCTTGTCGCAAGAGGAACATTACTCCTCGCCGCAGCCTCAGCAAAATCCTCAGCCGGAGCAACTTTCACAGCCTCAACCCCAGCAACCCCAGCCCTTGACTGCATCGCAACGCCAAGTAGCCAACCACTACTACAGCCCTGATGAGATCGGATATAATCGAATTAGCACAATTTGGGAGGAATCGCCCCCAAAGCTCAAGGATAAGCGACACCCCCAAAACGCCGATGGGTCTTTTTTAGGGTGCAGGGAAATATCCGGGGAGAAGAATCCAGACGAAATCCTCAGGTTCGCTTCTCTAGACGACGCGAGTCTGCATCCACTCCCATTGGCCCTGGGCTCCAAGAAGAAGCAAAAGGCGTCGAAGGAAGTGAAGATAGCAACAGACCGAGAAACCACCAACAGAGTCGAGGAGACCGTGATCCTTCAAGAAGAGCGACTGCAGTCTTCTCAGAATTCGAGACCTGCCCAATGCTCGAAGCCGTCAGCCATGTACCAGGATCGGAGTTTCTCCCAGAACCCGTCCCCAATCCCGCGGACGAGGTCACAGGACTCGAGCAAGGAGAATTACCATCCTACCAGCAATATATCCGAGCGATCCGGAAGTCTAGAAGAAAATCGGGGAGACGACGATGTGTTCATTATCACACCCACTATCACACGCACTATGATTCCCACGCCCGACAAGAAAGCATCTTCGCCAAAGCCGCAAGGGTTGCGTCGTCCTGGTGGCACAAACACAGTCACCGCCGAGGCTATCAAAGCCGTTCGGGCAAAGGCCCAGATGGTCTCTACACCGTCGGGGTTGCGGCCCGGGGGACCCAAAATGGATATCAAGCCAACAGGGCGTACCTTGACAACTTCCCAAACGTTGCCACTCAGCAGCACATCCGCCACACTGAAAGACCAAGACGACGAGAGTCGAAACCAAGATCATGCGCAAGATCGCAATCCGGAACGAGTAGCAGGTACAACGTCGAATACTATCCGTGGCTTCATCCGTACCACCGGGCGGGCAAAACCTTCCGGGCTGGCCAGATCATCTACAGATAGCCTTGCTACAATCCTGCGCAACAGGACTGAGTCCCTCCGTACACGCGCCGAGTCTCTGCGGAATGGTTCGGGGTCACCCCAGCGTGCGAACCAAAAGCAATCGCCAAGTCCTCAACCGATTCTTCCGTCCAGGGACAATTCGGAATCATCACGATCGGAACGGTCATTTCAGTCCAAAGAAACCCCAACCGCCACGCCAAACAGGCCCGCTTCGCCAAATGGGCCTCCTTCGGCAAACAGGCCCCCTTCGCCGAACAAGCCCGCTTCGCCGTCCAAAACTGCTTTTACGGAAATCAAACCCGACGAACCTTCAGCACGACCGACTGCACCAAGCAAACCAGTTAAGAAAAAGGTGACCTTATCAGAGGGATCCCCTTTGTCAACGAAACCCGACAAGCCTCCTACATCAACCAAAAAGATCTCCGCACTAGCAAAGCCGTCTAAGTTGGATAAAATCCCCAAGCCTACAAAGACAGCCGTGTCTGAAAAGCCTCCTCCCCCGAAGACGAAGACCCCTGATACTTCACCAAAAAAGGAAGTGCAGGTCAAGTCCCTGCCTCGTCTCCAGACCTCCGGTAAAGTTTTGGAAATCGCGGAGCTCGATGGCCTTCAGGTTTCGAGTCCCAAGGAGTCTCTTCAATCCAACATTACAGACTTCTCTACCGATATAGGCGACATGCACTCCGAAGACAAGGGTAACTCTGAGGGCCAAGGACCCAACCCTTTGGCGCTTTCACTTATTTTCAATATTCTTGTCGTTGCCGTCACCCAAGTGAATAAAGCTGTGCGAATGGGCACTGACAACCCTTACGTCAAATGTGTGGCCAACAACACTTTGAACATGACCAGTCACTGTTGGCATGTCTCCAAATGCATATATACCGTGGTGTCTCGCTACCGGGCCACAGGAACCTGGCCCAGGCCTCGCAGTGACCAGGCTATCAGTCGGTTCATGGTGGAGCTTCTTCAAGCCATTGTGTATCTCTTGATTCTTGGGTTTGCAGCCATGCTAATAGCCCGTGTTATTGGCTACGTTGTTCTCGTGAGCAGCTGGATTGCATGGTTTGTTCGACCGTTTGCATGGGCCTTCCAGTGTGTTGGTCGTGCCCTGATAATGTAAAATTAGACAGATATTTAGCTCTATGCTTGTACAAGATTGTTTCTCTGGGAGTCTCGAGTTTGGAAGGGGGACGTTCGTCGTTTTTGGTGCTTTCGGGTCTTTGTCCTGGTCTCAAGCGGTTCTACCTACTCACCTAATTGTGTCTTTCGACTGTATTCCTAGCATATCATTAAATAGGTCTCAAACTTGGATATTATATATGGAATCATTGCTCCTGTAGTAGTAAGAATTTATATTGATTTTGATCTTCTCGACTTGAACCCTAGAAACAGAAGCCGAAGACCCATGTTGAAGAGGGAAATAAAATGACATGTAACTTTTCTCGTGTCCCCCAAATCCGGAATTCAATCTTGTGTATGATATTCTCTCTCTTTTTCTCTCTTTCAGTCAAAAAAAAGAAAGCCAAAACAGACTCCGTCATCCTGGTGTTGAATGGTCCTGTATGGTAGCCCGGGATAATCTTGCAAAACCAATGCCAAAGCAGAGAAAATAGAAGGAACTTAAAACATATAAAGTTGCTTTCAGCAACATTTTTCATGTGTGGAAGTGCGTTGAGCAATTCTTTTTTTCGGTTCATGCGAACGAGGTATCCATCTAGCCGAGCAGCAACTCGGCGTTTTGTGAGATAAAAGAAGCATTCTAGAAAAAAGCAAGAACCGAAAGATGAGAAAAAGAAAGCAGAAGGAAAAAGGCAGGGCTGGGCTACCGTGGGCAGTTCTAGCCGCCACTGCGAGCTCTATGAAATGAGACCAAGCGCAGAAGAATAACGAAGACGATAAGAACGAAATAGGCCGTAAAGGCATAATTATGTTGAATTTTTGTTCTTCTTGCATTTTTTGGGGCCATCCATTCTTCTGGATTGTGCTAGTCCAAACAGAAAATATGATATAGTCCAGAAGAGAAGCACCGGGCTTGGAGAAGAATAGACCCGAGAAAATAAAAGAAAAGCCGATCGATGAAGCGCCATTGTTAAAAGAGACGGGGTATCGGTACATTATGTTGAAATGAAAACGCTGAGGAAGAAATCGTTGAGAGGTCTTCAGTCGTGACGCCATAAGACATTGCAGGGGAAGCCCGAGATGTGTTGGAGTAGTTGTTTGTATGGGCTGTGTTATCGTTGAGATGAGTGATGTTGAATTAGGTTAGGATGTTGAGTTGATGTTATGAGAGGTTTGCAAAGATGGCATACGACCGAGGTAGGGGTCGAGGGTGTGAATGGATAGCAACCAGTTATGAGTTGAGGAAAGCTGCTCTAATTGGCAGCAACGCCATTTTGCTCGGCATTGCCGTTGTCCAATGGTACCCCAGGCAGTTCGACGTTGAGATCTTTGACCTCGAGGCCATTGAATAATTCGAAGACAGCGTTAGATCGGTGGAAGTCGTTGTCAACGATATTGACCAGATACCAGTCGTCCATCACCTGGTGAATCAGCTTGCGACTAGGGCTCGCTGCGTCATAACATTTGGACCAGTGCTCGCCCAAGAGGTATGCTTCATCCTTCCAGGCTAAGAAACTGACTGTCTCGACGATTGTAGGCTGGATGATCTCCCGTCCGGCAAAGATACCCCATGTGAGGGCATTCGGGCTGTCACGTGTGTTGGTCCTGAGCTCGCCTTTCTTGTTAGTGGCGTGGTAAGTCAAGTCATCGTTCTTCTCGATGCGAGTAATGAGCTCATCGATCAAGTTGGAGGGAACCAGAAGCTCAAGGTAGGCTTTCTGGTAGACGAAACCGTTCTTGGGGCCCCATCCGTGCACAGGATGGCACGACTTGACTCCATTGACAGCGGGCTGAGAGTTGATTGTCAAAAATCCGCGCTGGTTTAGGTTGAGCAAATCCTCCTGAATCTCGCGCGCTTCGGTCGTGATTGGCGAATCACTCCACGGCAGTCGGTCGAGCTTGCCGGTCAAGAACTTAACAAAGATGTCCGAAATATCCTTGATCGATTTTGGCTCGCCCCAAAGCTTGATGTTCTGTTCATTTGTACCCTTCAGGCCCACGCCGTAAGCGTCGAGTTCACCGAATGCAGGTGAACGAGAATCGGTCCAGCGACCGTTAGGGTACTCATCCCATGTCTGGGTACGAGCAACGTATGATGAGTTACGGTTGCGCCAGAATACTGGTCGCACATCCTCTGTCCTTCGGCCGAGGCCAAGGGAGGGCCGCCAGGGCAGCGCACGTTGAATAGGGGAATCGTCCGACGGGCAAAGATCGAGCTCTTTGAGAACCAATTGAGTCGCCTGAGCCAGGTTCATGGTATAACTACGCATTGTTAGGACATGCCGGAACACCAGAATTGAGAAAATTAGTGGAGCCAACTTACAAATGCAGGTGTTTGATACCAGCTGTGACCAACTGTCTGCACATATTGGCGATCAGAGTCTTTCCGATCTCTCGAACCGCAGAATCATCGTTCTTGACCGGCTCAAGGGCCTCCATCCACTCAGAAGGCACCTTGACCTTAGTCCAGTTGGACCGACGAATGAAAGATGCGTATGTCTGGATAGGCATGATACCGGGGATAATGGGGACAGTGATGCCCTTGGCTCGGCACTTCTTCACCCATTCGATGAAGTTATCCGCATCATAAAACATCTGTGTGACAACAAAAGAGCTGCCCGCATCAACCTTCTCCTTCAAGTGGTCGATCAATTGGTCCACATCGGTATTGTCATCGGCACCCTCGGGATAGCCACCCACACCAATATCAAAGTGGTTGCCATATTTGTCCCGTATGTATTTGACCAGATCCTTCGCATAGCAAAATCCATTGTCCGTGGCCTCCCATGTTTCCTTGTCTCGCGGTGGGTCTCCTCGAAGAGCCAGAATATTGGTGCAGCCAGCTTTGTAGGCAGCTTGGAGCGCTTGATCAACCTTCTCTAATGGCATATCTGTGCAAGTCAAGTGCATGCAGGTCTCCAAGCCATATACCGATTGTGCCACGCTGACCATCTCGCAAGTCAGATCCGATAAGCGACCGCCAGCACCCCAGGTGATATCGATGAATGAAGGACCTAACCCATGCATGCGGTCCATCCGGTCGTAAAGGTTCTGTACACCCTGGGCGGTTTTAGGAGGGAAGAACTCGAAGGAAATTCCAATCTTTCCTTCCGCCTCATTTTTGGCAAGCTTCTCTCGGATATGCATTTTGTTGTGTTAATCTAATATTTGTAAGTATACCAACATGCCTAGATAGTTTCCATCAAGGGTCTTCGTGCTCTGAACAAACATACCGAGGGCAATAACTAATTAGATCTTTTGTGGAACTGGAACACCCGTGCAGATGAGACAGGCTTACTTTTGCTGTCCGAGAACCCGAGCACAATCCCTGTGTACTGTGACACCTCAATGTCTAGTACCGAGGAATAGAGGGCAACGGATAAAACACGAGAAAAGAAATGGAGATAAGTGAATAAAACAAGAAATTGTGAGGCTCCAAGGAGAGTGAAGGAGAGGAATTGAGGAACCCGGTGAGCGGAACATTTTGGGGGACAACATTTGGCGGGGAAGGCCGGCCATCGGAGGCACGTGGTTTATTTCTTTAAAGGGGAATTAGGGGTCCAATTGGCAGGTGAAATCAAGAAAAAAAGGGCATAGTATAAGGGATCATATGGGTTTCTTTCGTTTTGAACTCTTTATATTAGAAAATAAGTATCAATTGGACTTTTATAGCAGAAATCCGTTTCTCAGACTTTATAAGGCGCGATATGAAGCCATACCGCCTGCCCCTCCATAGACCGGCAAAATTTTCTAGTTCGGGTTGGTTTCGCAATTTGACCTTGTTGACTCTTTGACAACAGCTTCAGTTCTCTAGAGAATTACCTACGACACCCCCAACTCCAAAATGTCGACTGTTCCTCCCCCTTCTGCCGATCAGGACTATAAGTCCACCCTCCTACCCCTCCTCATCTCCAACAATGTCCTCTCGTTCGGCACCTATGTTCTGAAGTCTGGCCGTGAATCACCCTACTTCTTCACCTCTTCCCTCCTGCACACTGCACCATTGTTGCGCGCCTCCTCTGCCGCATACGCTAGTGTCCTGTCTGCCGAGCCCTTCGTCACCACCAACGCCGACGGCACCGCTCAGCCCAACTTCGATATTATCTTCGGACCCGCATACAAGGGTATCCCCATTTGCGCATCTGTCACCAACGAGCTCGCTGTGCGGGACTCCCTGTCTGGAAAGACCACTTGGGACAATGTGAGCTACTCCTTCAACCGCAAGGAGGCCAAGGCGCATGGCGAGGGTGGAAACATTGTCGGTGCCCCGCTGAAGGGCAAGCGGGTCGTCATTGTGGACGATGTCATCACTGCCGGCACTGCACTCCGCGAGGCTGTCGGTATCATCGAGAAGGAAGGCGGTATCGTCGCCGGTGTTGTTGTCCTGCTGGATCGGGAGGAACGTGTCAGCGATACCGAGTCCAAGAGCGCCATTGGCGTTGCCCAGCGTGATCTTGGTGATAAGATCCCCATTCGGTCAGTCATTGGTCTCCACGACCTGATTGAGAAGTTGGGTGATAGCATTGGCGCCGGCGAGGTCCAGCGATTGAAGGACTACCGTGAGCGCTACGGTGCCCAATAGACATCGGCTTGTGGAATCCGCCAAATCAAGGCATGATGTATGAGCAAAGACAGCAGGATGGATACCAGGATATTTTGGAGTTGCTCTGAATATATTATTACTTGAACATTACATTACATATATTCAAATCAGGAGACGGACACCTTCCTTATGGGCTATTTGACCTGTCCTCGATCATATTTAGACTAGCCAGCAGATGGCTTTCCCATTGGCTCATCTTGGGCCAATATGATATAATGGCAAGCAAACTTACTTACACTGTTGCCCGCCAAGGTTCCAGGAAAACAGGTGATACCGGTGCTCAACCGGAGGTATTCAAAATATACTCCAATCGGGAAACATGGAGCTGAGTATGAAAGCTTCCCGGTCTTTAGTTTCGCTAATTATGTAGCGAATATATTCATGGGTGTGTTTTTTACTCTCCGAATACTTTACCTATGTTGTATTCCAACACACCCCTGAACTGACTGGCTCCACTCGGACGCCGGAATCCTCGTCAGCAAGACAATGTTCTACATGAACTCGAAAAAATAGATTGTCTGGATTTAAGTACCTTGGCAAGCCAATAATGAGAATTGCGCGGCAATCGACACGCAGCACGGCAGATGCTACCACTGCTAAGTTGTTTTTAACACCGTGCACATAAGCAGCAATACAATTGCCTCATCCAGAATGAACTGGGCAGTCTATATATGTAGCAAGATGTATTATCAGATTCTGCGCTCGGGCATATGTATCTACTGCGTTTATAACTTGATCAGTACATGGTTGGGACATACCTTGACGTAGTAATTCCTAAGGTAGCAAATTCAATAGACAACACGTTTGTTTTGAGCTTCGATCTATAACAATGCGGAGATCAACCGCTGGATACATATATTTCGAAATAGTCAGGTTTTTTTTAGCAACCTTCCAAGGTTCCCCCCAGATCCTTAGTGAGACATCTAATTGGTGCTATGTATACCCCTACTATATGTTCTACGGCAGCTCCGGTGATATCCCAATGGCTGTCTGCGTTTCACAAAGAGTAACAGCGAGAACCGAGACTATTTTGTTATTTTCAAGTTATTTTCGAGTCATTAGAGATCACAAATAATTATTGCTTAACTATCTCCAATTGATACTTCGAGTGGCGGAAGCCTTTCAAACCTCTCTCTAATGTAGCATCACATGCCATCTTACACTTAACCCAGATCCCATCAACAATTGAACTGTCTATATATATTGCTTCAACTACCGTCCTCCTATGAAGACCTAGGATAGCTCCGCTCAAATCCTAGAACAACTAATAATTCCGGTGTCCAACATGGAAGTCGGCTTGCATTTAGAAATAGCAGCATATTTAGTTATTCTTCCCTTGTTTAGAAGGCTTACTATAGACTTGAACAACTATTGAAACGACTTAGCTTTCTCTAGGATAGAATATAGCTAGCAATAAGTATTAGAAGTTCGTATAAATTAGTACAAAGTGCAGGGTACAGGGAGGCTCGGACCCTGTACACCCATATACTCCATACCTTTATGCAGGCCGAAAAATAACTTTGGGAACTTAGCCCAATAAGAAATGAAGACAACTTGTTTTTGTATGCACTCACCACTGAGCTAACCTGTTATTTCTCTGATAGATACAATTCTAGAGTTGCTGCGCGTTAGACGGAATTCCTGATACAAATGTTGTCTTCACACATCAGGACTGTAGAGGCAATGTTCGAGACCGTGTCGATGATTCAATATCAACGATTTAGTACTCGGGTATGTACACCAACTCTCAAGCAAGCAAATTTGTTTAGTTTGTCTAGCGTCGAGATTTCAATTGGACCAAAATAAGTCTCGATGTGTATTCCGCGCTGCTCGTGATCCCCGCTAATCTAGACACTAGACACTATCCATAAGGTAGTCTCACCGAATCGTCGGGATACCTGTAAAGCATGGATTACTCTATTAGCCTCGTCGAGCCACGGCCATTCCACAACGGCCGTCTCATGCAGAGATCTATGGTTATTACTCGAAACCTGAGCGATGGTGACGCCTCGTAAGACATAGATATTCGCCGCCTGAGTCCCATGGTCTCTGTAAATAGCACACAGCGTTAATTAGGATGTCAATCAGCATGAGGACAGAACTCCGTGTACTTTGTATCTTTTTGCCTCCTATCAGCTGCGCCTTCGGCTCTAACCGTTCATTCCGGGCTTCAAGGAGAATTGTCGACGTAGCCTATGCCTATTTTTTGGAACCAGAGAGAACACCAGGAGACTTTGTTGGAAGAAGTAGACTGTGGAGTATCATACTCCCTTTGAACCACGCCGAGTGATTTTACCCCTACTATCTCTCAAACATTCTCAGGTTTCTCTTATTTCTATTAGCCATTCCGCAGCTCTCGATTTCCTTTCTTTCCCCACCTTTTCTACTTAGGAGAGCTCCTATAGATTGGAGACTATTGGTCATATTCTACTTGATGGAAAATGCTTAAAGTCTCTCGTTGATATTAGTCCTTTTTTCTCGTCATCAATACACCACCCTTTCGCAACCCCTGCGACTTTCCGAAAAAGCAAACTGTCAATTATATGCCCTGTTAGTATCGTTCCTTTTCAGAATACCCGAGTGGCAAGATCCGATTTGGCATTGGTACCTGTCGGGTATACGAGCCTCTTTCTCATATCCCTTTGAAGCAATTAATGGACCTGCTAACAGGGAATGATGAAACATAGTAGCTGTTCCTCGGAAAGCCTAGTCGGGTCAACGGTCTTCCTCCCACTCTACTTCATATCCGACACATGCTACGATCCTAAGTTTCTCTGAAGCGGCTTAGTACATTGTTTGTCGACCATGAATTGGAGATATAAAATCCCAGTCCTTGCTCTTCTCGCAGCTCCAGGAATCAGTTGGCCCTACGACGAGACTCTCACTGATTATAACATCAACGAAAACCAAACAGCGACCAACCCCTTAGACTACTGGGGAGAATGGCCCGACCACACCTACTTTCCTTCTCCAGAAAATTGGCGCTTTCCTGTATATACGCTTTTCCTTGACCGATTTGTGAACGGTGATCCAACAAACGACAATATAAATGGGACACTCTTTGAACATGATATCAATTCAAACCAAATGCGACACGGAGGTGACGTGGCTGGTTTGCTGGACACTTTGGACTATTTGCAAGGAATGGGCATCAAGGTTAGCTTCATGAATGGAACCTTGGTGCATATCTAATATCAACTGACAGTTGAACTTCTAGGGACTTTATCTTGCAGGTTTGGTATTGATGAACCAGCCATGGGGGTCTGATGGTTACTCAGCGCTTGACACGACTCTACTCGACCAGCATTTTGGGACAATTAAAACATGGAGAACAGCTATAACGGAGATTCACAAGCGCGGCATGTACGTTATTTTTGACAATACGGTCTCAACGTAAGTCTTCCGTCTAACCATCTTCTCTTATTGTGTGACA